TCACGGCATACCACTTTTTGTGAAGAGACATCCGGGAGATCGCTCACCATTTATTCACTAATAAATATTTTTAAATAAAAAAATTACCTTATAATCTAGAAACTGCAATCTTTGAAACACAAACACATTTTTTTAAAAAGGTCTTATAGTTTTTGAGAAAAAATTCCCAAAGGACACTCTTTTTTCGGCCTCCTGACTGAGCATAACTCCTTAAGTAACTTTGATGCACTCGACCACGGAAGGAAATTGTAAGGTGGAATCGGTTTGAGTTGGCGAGTGCCGCGGTACCTGTCACCTGGAATGGATTACCCGCAATTTTCTGGGTGTCTGGAAGAGCTAGTAGATGATGACGTGCCGTTTGTCTCGCTGCGACTTGTTACACAATCAATGAATGTACAGTCAGAACTATCTTTTAATTGAGCATTGTTAGGATTTTTTGTATTCGCGGACTCCTCTAGATTATTTACTGGCTTGTTCGATCAAACGGTCCAATTCTTAACCTTCTCCGAACCGTCTTCTGTTTCGTCGGTTTTCCGCGGAATTGCTCGGCACTTCCGGTGAATTACACGAGAAAATTCCACAGTAGCATGGAACACGGAAGGGCCGAGAGGGCCGGCGATCGTGGCAATTATTCGACAAATTATTGGAGAACGCGCGAAACCGAGCAACCGGAGGTTTTACGGTCTAAAGAAACAGCTGTTACGAGTTAATCTCAGGCGGCTAACGAGCTCGGAAGAGTAGCCATTTCTTCGTGACGGTCGTTACATCTTGCGCTGGCACCGCCCGATACGGTGAGCCGTCTCCCTCTTATTTCCCCCGAGTAGAACGCTTCGGATAACGCTCGAGATACCGCGGCGATCCGCTCCGCGCGTTTTCTTGGTCACCACGGACATCAACGAGCAGCGATTAACGTCGTTGTGCTCGAGCCCGGTGCTGACCGGGGTGAAAAAAACGGAAAATCGCTGCAAAATTGACTCGTAAACGAGTCCGAGCGAGTCGAAAAGTTAGCAAGCGATCGACAACAAGTTCTACAGGCGAGTATTGGAGCGTGGCGATCTGAACGACGGTGTGTCCAACGATAGGCATCTTTTTGCGACGATTCCGATTCCCGTCATGAATGCAATTCAGTATCTAATAGTTTAAAGGGCTATGCTAGTGTGACGGCTATAGAATAAGGCAATTTTTAGGAATTTTTTAAAGAAAAACTATCGAACTTATCAATTTGAATAATACATAAGTTTACTAAATAATATTTATAAAGTATGCTATATTTTTATAAAGTAAAAACAATGTATTTTTTGAAAGTTACAAGTTGTTTGTGAGAGCGTTTTAACGAAATTTCCTTTCCATGACGGTCATAGTTTAGCTTACTATTTCGAGACACAATTCAAGGATGAAGAAGAACATCTTTTTACTATTTGTATGTTCTTTTTCAAAAGATTTCCTATAATCACTCCTTGCATGGGCAGTGGTTAAACTGTAACCCAAACTATTCCAGCCATCAAACTTTCTAAAGGACAAAAATACACAGAATCGTGTATCTGGCAATAATCCTCTATCTGGCCAAACGAAACCATTCCTAAATTACCTTTCCGATCAAGAATCATCGAAATCTACATAATACAATCCCATTTCCGGCCAGTCCATCCATTAATCGTCGAACCTTGTGCACGCGTCCGTAAAAGACGAACGATCCGTGCCATCTGACGGTGTATCGTTCGAGATCCACGTCAACGAGGTTAAACCCGCTGAAAATTTTCGAGAACCACCGTAATTTCGCGCTGTTAGAAGCATTTAGTTACCAAGCTATGGGCGAATCAGGCCCCAGCTTCCGTGTTGTGGCGCATTAGACGCGATTAGAACGGTATCCGCGAATCTGTTGGACGGTCTAACGAGGCGTATGGTTGAGGGGGCAGAGGCGCAATTACGAGGAAATAATTGCTGGACGTCGAGGGAAATAATAGCAATCGATAGCCGCGAGCCATTCGGCTCTGTCCGTGGTTTATTTGCTTCTCCGTACGAAATCGTTCCTCTCCTTTTTTTTTTGTTTTCTTATGGCGAGCGGGGAACACGAGCGGAAGGTAACTGATTTCGGTCGCCCCGACGGTCTCGCTCGGTTAAACGGTCGCTATTCGAACGCGCATACATGCACAGACACACAGAGAGAGAAACGGGAGGAGAAGGATTCGCGATGTCTATCATTACCTAAAGGCGGATTTAACCTTTCCCGGATTTGATCGAGAAAACGGGCTTACTTCGCGGATTCGCGTCACGCATCGGTACCTAGACGTGCACGTAACCGACGCGCGGACATTTATCTCGCGACGGGAATAGTATACAGTGAATCCTTAATGAGTGTTTGGAGGTTCTTCGACAGTGAACATTAAATATTTCATGAATTAATGGCCATGTACGGCTGAAACAAATATCATTGGATTCAGAATTCCAAGCTCTATCAAGGTGGTAAATCTTATTAAAAAGTCAGCGTTACACCTGGGGACTTCTCCTTGTCAGTCCCGAAGAGCCTTCGAACACTCATCGAGGATTTACTGTAGTAGGTAATCAAACCATTCGAACGTGTTTGAACATCCGATGAGGAGTTCGAAAAGTTCGAGCCGAGTTAGATCGAGGCGAGGAGTTTGAAGTGGAGATCACTTTTAGTTTGATGGCGTTTCAAATTCGAAAGTAGTTTTAGACACCAAACAGTTTGATGGCATTTCAAACTCCACACAGTTTGATATTTGAAATTCTAGACAGTTTGATATTTGAAACTCCAAACAGTTTGATAATATTTGAAACTTCGTACTATCAGAGATTTGAGACTTTCACGTCGCGGCATCTGACAGTTCTCACTGTTGAGGCATTCGGTTGTAAGCCGTATCCTTGTGGAATTGTTTTCCCAAGATTTTGCAACTGTTTGGAATGCTTAAACGTCTCAAGAGTTTGAAGTTTGAAACGTCATCGGACGATACGAAAGCAATTGAAACGCCTGGTCACTATCAAACTGGGTTTGAACTGTTTAACGCGTTAGCGCCATGTGTTTGAATCAAACATGTTTGAAGCAGTTTGTTCATGGACCGACCACCAGGTGGAAGGCACTTCGATTCGTCGTTCGTTCGAGCATACTCACCGTTTTGCGGGAAATTCTGTTGGGAATACATAAATATCATAAATTCAGTTGGGAATACAGTAAAACATCGATGAGTGTCCGAAGGCTCCTCGACACTGAGTGTTCAGACGTCATCCCCACCACTGGGCGTTTGACTAATTCTATGGAGGACCTCTCCCCCAGTGGTGGGGATAACATCTGAACACTCAGAAGCCTTCGAACATTCATAGATGATTTACTGTGCTATTGGATGGAAGGTCTTCGCTCTAGACTTCATCCTCTGACCTTAATAATCTTTGTTCGAGGAGAAGCAAGCTGTCGTCGCTAGAAGGCAACTTAGAAATATGGTCTATTTTGTTTATTCACGATATTTCCGCCCTTCAAACGAACACTATGGTTTCTTACTTGGAATTCTACTTTGGAGTCATTATAGGGAACAAGCCACATAACTCTATGCTCTATTATGTTACTTACGGTTCGTGAAGATAACGTGGTAATCGTATATAGCGTAGTTTAGAGGTCATAACGATTCAGTTTGATTTATAAAAATAGATTCTAAACATCTCTTCCTAACCGTGTTAGACAGACATAGATAACGATGTTCTTCTTCGATTATCTCTATACAGTGGCTAATTCACCGTTTATGTTTATGGACCTCTCGTTGTTCTTTTAACCCTCTTACGGATGCGCCGCGACATTTAGTATTGTATTTGCGTAAAGAATACTCCCTCGTCTCGACGTCATATTGTTACCGTCGGATTGAAAATGTGAATAGAGGTGAGTTGGGTAAACACGAACGCGGGGTAATCCGCTATTGCATATAGTTACTGTTGCATTAATGATAATTTCGTATTTATTCAAATTGAAATAAGCACATATTAAACAACATTTTATAACCAAGGTGTTGTCTGCTGACTGAGTTTAACCTCTAAAATAATGTTTTTTTATTTTTTGACGTTGTGAGGTATTGGCGAACAAACTGAATGGAGGCTACTGAAGACTATATAATGTGTTACAAGTGTAACTTACGGGCAAATGAAAAATGCAGCAGAGCTGAAAGCACATCCAGGGACTTTCTGTGCGACTTATGTGATACATAGTTTTTATTAACACTCTGTTCGTAATAACCCCAAACAGTGTCCGTGATTAGTGTTTGAATTTTATTATAATTTTTCCAGAATTGGATATTGTAGTTTGTAGATGAACAGTTTAAGTATGATTAGAAGTAATAAACAAATTCGTTTTTCACTCAGCTTTCGTCCTGTTTGATTTTTGCTTAGATATTCGTGATTACCCCACTCTCCCCTATGCCAATTACGTAATTTTAACCGCAAGATAGGTATGCAATTACGGATCGACGAAGACATGATTCGCTTTGTTTCGCAGGCACTTGTAAATCTTTAATGCGATACCTACCTCCGACAGTAAGCGGCAAGACGTCCAATGCCAGTGGATTAAACGGCACACTAATCGTGCATTTAACACTGCGATCGAATAATCAGATCCATACATTCTAAGATTCTTTTATAGGGTCCCATCAGGTACAATAAATCTGTATATAACTGACTTGCCCATCTTGGACAGTTATTACACGTAAAAAATATTCTATAATCATAATTATTTCCCACAAATTAAATAATAAGGAAAGTAATTTAAACGCAACGATTTGCTTACGAGAATCTGAATACTTCTAAAACGGAAACATCTTAAGTTTCCGTTCAGACACAACGTTTTGTTCGCGCAAACATAATCCCACAAGGCAGTTTGCGCAAATGATTTAACCCTGTAAACGAGCCTTTATACTGGGTATGTTGCCTGTACCAAAAAAAAAATCGTATCCCTACCCGATCAGAATCGTAACAAAAAAAAAAAGAAAAAAGAAAACACTCACCCAAAAGTTTCGTGACGACTGCGCCTTGTTGATTCAGCGAAAGCACATGATTGGCCAGGTCGTTGTAGTGCCTGAGAGCTCCCAACCCGTGCGACAGTTCCAGCAATCGTTGTCGGCTCGCACCGCCGCCATTACCGCTGGCAAATGGCCCCGCGGTGCAATTTTGCAAGCTCACGCCTGGAATTGCAACAACGTAACTAATTAGTGGTGTGTCTGACCTGACGCTAGAGGCACGTCCTTGCCGCCTAACAGGACTCGTCTTTATACACGGCCTACACACCTATATCTCATCCAACTAGTCGAGTCAGTAACTATAAACGAAGGAAGGTGATGACTAGACTGCGGATTTTATGCATTTAAAGCCTATAGGTGTCTGTAAAATACAATAAAGGACAAAACTTTCATCAGATCTAATAAGTTTTTTGGTTTATTTGAAACCGAATACGATACTTGGGAATAGAAAGAAATTCCTACGTTTGTTCTTTTCTGTATAAATTGCTTTAGGAAATTTCAATTTGCATAAAAATCCGCAGTCTACCGATGACCGTTCAGGTGGGACAAGGACAGAGACAGTTACCAGGCAATAACTGGGATTAGCATACGAATGTTTTGCTTATTTTCACCATAAACGTATAATAGGTACCTAAACTCTGTCCCACGTAAGAATAACCTCACGCTCGGACGAGTTTTCGACCGATCTGCGCACCTCCCACTACTGCCGATTCGGACCCATGCGATCGCTTGTAGCTCGTTAGCTCTGCTGGTCATTTACCAATGAACGATCTTAGATCCCGTCCCATGAATGAAAATTTTCTTATCAACCTTAAGTATCCTCTTCGATGACGTTATCGCTCACTAAATGCGTTCTCAAGATATTTATGAACGTATGAATTTTGAGGGAATTTTTCTTCTATTTCCAATCGAGATTGAAGATATGAAAGGGTTTCAGAACAATAATGCATGGCACAAATCTTCCATGGCTGATAATAAATTGATGTGAATCATTTGGAAGCTAAGAGCGTGGGATTTCGACCATTTGATCTACTAAATTTTGATTTTGTGCCACTGTGGAACAGTTCGAATCAGAGATATTTCAAAATACCATTACTGTCGTACTTTAATATGCTCCACTCGATACGATTCAAGCCTCCGCTGAAACATTTTTTGCTACGAGTAACAATAGCAAAAAAATCAAGATGTCAAAATCGGGTGAGACACCCTGTATAGACCTCACCTTCTCTACTAAAATCTGATCGACGCGAAAATCCAAATGCTCGCCATCACCATATACACTAGGATCTTGGTGTTTTTCGTCGTATAACCACGCGAAGAAGCATCGAAACCTCGAATCGATCCCATAGTGACCTGCAGTATCGGGCCCCGATCTGTCGATCTTTCCCGCAGAAAATCGGAACCGAGCCGGCCCGAACGGTTCGTTTCATTAACAATGGCCAGTCAATAATGAGCGTGTCGAAAGCGATCGCGCGGACGTGCCGGCGTAATCGAGCGAATTAATTTAAATTACTCGAGCCTGCGGCGGCGGCAGCCGATCGTCGTAAGAGTCGCGGACGATCTCATCCCCGATGCGATCTCTTTCTTAGGTGCCTGAAGGCGAAGGGAATGAATGGGGAGTGGGATATCGAAGCACGGATACGAGGCGTCGCGCATCTGCCCGTGTAAATCGCGGCGATTAATCACCGGAGGTGCGAGGACCCTCGTAATTCCTCGAAGGACACCTCGGGAGCGGTTCGCGACTTCCTCGGTGATTTTATAGGCGGCTAATCTCGAGGACGATTCCGTTTCGTGCCACTCCGTGGGCTCGAGTGGCGAGAGAGGATTTACGATCGAACGGGCCACGGTGTATTGAGTGCGATCCATTTTTCGTCCAGAACGTGGGGAAACAGGGGCGGGGAGGGGGGACCTTTACTTTAAGTCTCGAACATCCAGATCGTATCTTTCCTCGGAAGGGGTGCGGTGGCGGGGTGTGCGAACACGAGAGCCAAACGATCGAAAAGGGTGTCGCTGACGACAGTTCGCGTTTTACCGATCCGTTCCAGTTTTCCTGTTCCTTTTTTCTCTCTTTCGTTCTCTCTGTTTCCACCAAGGCCCCTTTCCGTCAGGGCTTTTTCATACCAATGGAGAATCCGTAATTGCGTGAAATAATCACGCGATTTACAGACGATACTCCCGTGGCACTTGTATATATGTATACCTACTCGCACCTCGAGCACATTCGCGCGTGTTTTCCCTCTCCTGTCTCTCGTCCCATGTATCTCGAATTAATTTCCAGGAGGAATCACGACCAACCTGGAATAATCGTAATTAGCGTCCGGTCCGCGGACAGTCCGTGATTTTACGGGCGGATAATCTTAACGATGTTTCGTACGATCCCCGTGGACGATAGTTTACGATCGTGGAACGACGATGTTAAAGAAACGATGTTAAACCGTTCGCGGGAACGGGGCAGATCGGATGGGAATAGCAGCCGTCGCCTCGTCGTCGTGATCTCTCTCTCTCTCTCTCTCTCTCTCGATGCTGTGTGGACCACGTCGACAACGATCGTTGGTCTTGATGGGCGCCGGGGGTCGGAGGATGGGTAGGGTATCGTGAACGGGAAATTAAATTCCGGAGGTAGATAGAAACGGCCGGACCGGACAGGGACCCGGAGAGCGAGAGTGCTCATTTGTAACGCGTTGTTTCGACTGGTTACGAGCGAGCCCGAACGCGAGCGCGCGCGCGCGCGCGCGTCCACGTCCGCTCGTTTCCCCCCCCCCCCCCCGTGGGGAATAGGGATTTTACGCTGATACTTTCGCTATCCGTGATGTTTCATCCCGGTGTGTGCGTGTAGGGGAGTCTGGGGAGGATTGATACATTTTTATATTTTTCACATAATCCTAGACCACTGTGGAACAGTACCAATCTATGACTCAAAAACAAAAGAAGCTTATTTTAACTTCATCTTATAAAGCAAACACGTTTCAGATACATCGAAGTGTTAGGGGAAAAGTATCTAAAACTATCCCTTGGGGTAAAAGATTCCTGGCTGCCCTGTGGTTATTAGTGGTGCTGTATCGTAATGTCGTTTTACAATAGTTCTCCCCGTACGTCACTAGTCGTTGCTCGAAGTGCCATGTGAATATCAGTGCTCTGTGTGTGGTCCACAAGAAAAATTTAAAATTACTGCAATTTATCTAAGGGTCTTTTTCAATGTTGTGTAACTTTTGTCTTAAACGGTTTAATGAGACAGATGCTATACAACACCCCAACAATAGTTACATCGTCGAAGAGGATCACAAGACTTGTATACTATCCAATAAACAATAAAAAGAATTACAACGAAAAAATGAGTTTTTCTGTTTGAATCCCAAAAAATTCTAGTCCCTTATTATCAGTAGTTAGGCTAACAAATAATTTCATAAAAATCATTTACTTTTACCGTCGTAACACGAGAATCCTCCCTTAACGGAGAGAACAGATAGCGCACAATTTATTGCAACCTCTTCTCGCTTACGAGTCGTAGAGACAAATTCTGAAAAGACGTTCTTTTTTTCTTCCACGTCCGATTGTAAAGTCACCGAAAACGTTTACACAGTCATGACTCTAATGATAGGCTTCAGGACGTAACACTGGTATTGTTCTATCCGTTACGCCGCCGCAGGGAGTAGTTCTGACGATTCTAATTTGGAATTCAAATTCTACGGTTTCGGTGTTACCGAGCGCGAGAGACGATACAGAAATGAAAGAAATGGTTCGTGTTTAACATAAAAGTCTTTGTACGGGGATCTCGAATTTAAATTAATAAATATCGATGCGTTTTCTGACGCTCTCTCTTTTTCGGGGATGTTTGCATTTAACGCAACGGGTTCCATATTGTGTACGTGTGGATAACATAATCTTTGTTATCGGGATGATACGTTATTCCGTGGGGTGAGACGCTAAATAAATTTTTTGATGTTCAGGAAATTTATGAAATTGATCCTTTAAACCTTTTTCCTGCTTGTAATATAGTTTTCTCTGAATTTTTCATTGCTTTCGATATACGCTATTCTGTACAGCTACGTGAACGTATTTTCTATTGTCGCTATTATAGTGTTTTTAGTAGGCCTTCGTGAAACAGAGGAAACAAAAGAAATATTATATTTAATTATAATAAAAGACGAGACACAGCCGTAAGTTGGTCGAAAACTTAATCCAAGTTTGTGCAGTCAACTCCGCTTGATTCGCAGAATGATTGTGAACTTTTAGTCGACAATGTAAGTATCGCTATAAAATCGACTCGTACAATTTCTGTTTGCTAGAATTTATGGATATTGCCCTGGCAGTCAACCTATTGAACTTTGCTGTTCCACGTCGGTACGTGGTTATAAGCAATAAAGCAGAAAGTAAGGTGGAAGCACAATGTAATAATATGTTCTCAAAGCCTTCGTACAGTTCTGACAGTCCAGTTTAAAACTTCAGAAACTACAAAACGATTGCATTAAATTCGCTGAAGTTTCTATATTCCTAACACGTGTACTCGCATAGTGAATTAACACGTGAGCCCATAAATTCGTGGGTATTCACACAACCTACAAAACTTTCTACACAAATAGATTTGATATAACCGCCGTTAAATTGTACAAAACAAGTTAATGATAATGACGAAAAATATAGAAATGCACACGGATTTGTGGACTGGCCTCATATAATTACTACGATGAAATTAAATGATGGAAACGAATTAAATAAACGATATTTTAATTACCTAGACTCGTGTTTATCTCACCTAACAAAACTTTTATCACGCCATTGGTATCGTGTCTTAGCATGCAGTGATTAATGAAAATAAGACAAATCGAAACTGATAACGTTCTTCCCCCACAAACACACGAAATGAATTTCGAAGGCAGTGCATATCCACCGTATGAAACGATTATCCGTCCCATTCATTAAAAATAATAATGAATACACCAGACATAAAACGTCACGAATTTACCGAACGCTCTAATACATAAAATGATTTAACTATACGGCGCCCTAATCGCTTATAAGAACGTGTTTTCTCACACGTCGAACGTTTCGCCGCGCAATCGATGCGACCGATTTTCCAGAAGTCCTCGAGAATCGTATCGTAGCGTAACGAGGAAGGATATCTCTGTTTCGGTGGCTGTATAAGGCCCGAGGAACGCCTCCCGAGG